TGTAGTCTCACTAAATCTCGACAGAGCTACTGCAAACTCCTCGGGTATTATAATTTGCAGAACACCAAAAAATTCCGAACATATAAATAGAGGTGAAATTGACATTATAATTTTTTAACTTGGTGTTCATATCACTAAATAACCGATATCTTTTTACTGACTTATTGCATTCGAAGATCTGATTGTACATGATACAAATAATTAGCCAAAAAAGCCAAAGAACCAAGTTTAAATATTGTTTCTATTTTTGTAAATCACTCACCAGACCACAATATCAAATTTTCCATCATATCCAAATCTGTAATTACTTTTGCTTCCATTTGACCAACGAACCTAATGGAAATAGAAACTACAACGTACATGTAATTATAAATTAAAGTCAGTCTGTGATGTTATGCATTAAAAAATGATACTCGTTGAGAAGCTTTTATGAACTAATGTAAGCCTATTAAACTATTAAAGATATCTTTTAATCTTTCTTAAGGTAATATTTATTTCAACATACATAGACCTCTTCTTCCTTAATTCGGTAAACAGCTCCAATATTTCCTGTGCCGCCATCTTGGTTTCCCCATTTCCAATCTGGTCCTATTTTACAAAGAATTAACATTTAATCAATTTTGTAGCCACAAATATCAGTATGAATGAAGCAGATCCTCTAGAATAAAAAAAAAAACTGTCTTCTTCGACTAAATGATAGTAAAATTCATCGTGTTTTTTTGTAACATAGATAAGGCTAAGTACGAATATTACCCTGCATATCTAACGAATAAAAAAAGTCATTGAAAAAATATAAATTTCAACGGATAATAATTATGACCATAATCAATGTACATGTACTTATAAGAGAACTAGGAGGTATGATTCTTACATAATAAAGAAAAAATGATGATTGATTTTTAAATTTACCTCTTTTAACAATACATCCTACAGCGATATTTTCTCTTTGTAATATTCGAGGTTCATCACAAACAATGACTGCGGACTGGTTTTGATCACTTGGATCATATTTATACGGAAACCTCATTGTAGTGTCCCATTCAACATTGACCCATCCATCTGAAAATAAAACCAACATTTTCAATGCAGAATGGTTTCTTTCATTGTCAAAAGCTGCACAATCCTTACCCTTTTCCCAGTGTCCAATAATAGTGCCCAAACCACTTGAGTTCTGATTATTGTAGGTCCAATGTGGTCCTCTTCGTACCCTTGTTCCTGGTGGTGGTAATCTTTCATCGCGCTCTCTATAAACAACGGATTCCAACTGTTCTTCATTTTGGTACACATTTATTTCATATTCTCGTCTATTGTTTAATATGTCCACGACATCTTCCTGATTAAAAAAAAGTATATCTTTAAAAAATTTACTACTTCGTATTATTTGTCAAAAGCAGCAATAAATATCTTCAATGCGAACGATATAAGAGAAGGCTGGTTCAAAATCTTTAAAAATAGAGACCGAATTATCACTTGGTGAACGTGTTGTTTCTTATATTGTGACATTATTCCAGAAACAGAAAATTCTATTCGATCCAGAAAATAGGCGAAATGATTATATGCATCAGCTCTTTCTTTTAGTATGAGAAAATCATATTTTGAAGATGAACATATTTTTTAGAATATGAAGATTCTCATCTACTTAAACTGATTTTTTTAATTACAGAAAGATTGTGGTAATCAATCGGTTGCAATGAAAAAGAATCCAAATCTAGATGAAATGTACATAAAATAAATAAAAACGGAAAGTTCTCTATTCTTCCCCCAGTAATAACCTCTGAGTGTGCTCAAATCAAACAGATTTTAATAAATGATATAGGTGAAGATAAAGAACAGAAGATAACGGTCTCAACAAACCTACAAACAATACAAATCTATGAATAGGTCATGATACACAAAACCCTGGAAATTCCATAGACGGGATCAGGTGCCTATGAGGAGAAAACATGCATCTCTTGCCGACCGGTCCCACCCGACCTGAGCTCTTTGTATTGATCAGGTAGACGGAGTAATCCTTAATCAAATGTAGTGTGAAACAAAGGCCTAACAATTGGTATGAAGAATGTCTGTCAAAATACGGCCCAATGATAGGATATATTTGCTAAAAAGGTCATTACAACGACCGTAGAATTTACAAAATGCTGACTTTAAAGGAGGTTGATCCCTGTAACATCATATTATTTGTCAGCAGCCTTCCTTGGTGTAAACAATTGATCTTACACAGAGCATGCTCTTGAGTATCGAATCATTTGAGAAATATAACACCATAAGCAGATGACATTGGAATATTACTACATAAATAAGGTAAGTTGAATGTAGACGTTATTATTCGTTCGAGAATTTAATTAAAATCCATGTACACTTTTTTTTTTAAAGAAGTTGGATGGACAGATAGAAAAACATTCAAATTTCAGTAGCTGATAGTAGGAAACTACATGTATCAGATTTTAATTTTTTATTTTATTTTACTAGTATCCTTGGTATAACTATGGACCAAATTAGGCTTTGACCTTAACTTTCAAACTCATGAAGAAGAAATTATCGTTGGTAAAAATAAAACAAATGATAATATAAACATATCATGCACTGTACCAAGTCACGCTCTGTAACAACATGCTGAAATCTTGATGATGATAATAAAGATCTCACGTCATCAACAGAACAGTTAGTTGGAGGTACCTCTCCTAGAATGTCTCCAGCAATCATCTATAAGTGAAGAAAGTATATTATTTTTAAAATTCTCACATTGAATGGAACCTTTGATGATTCCATAGTAATAAAAAGATAAAACAAATGATACAATAAAGTGTACTTAACCATGTTTATTGAATATTTTGCAAATTGTCTAGCTTCCACATAATTAAGAATTTTTCCTCCTCGAGATCTATAGGCAATGGACCCCAGTAAGCACTGTAAATGATATAAGCATGGCATATTTTTTAAAGTACTGTGTGATGTATTATGTCATAGCTATTGATGCATTACCGACATATGATCACTGTGATTAGTAAAAGACAAGGTGGTTTTGTAAACACACAATACTAGGAACTTTTGAAAACTGGACATTGGTAGTTTGAATTGATATGGATTCAACTTAACGCTATTTTAGAGGTTCACCGATAATTAAACGTGATATACATGTACATACAACATTTGGATCATTTCCGACAGGTACACAGATAATTGGATTTGTATTTCCTATTTGCTTCACCAGATCCAAAAGTTGAATATTCTGAAACAAAAAATCCTACCTATAACAATCAATAAGGAATATGAAATAAGTATGGAATAATCTTTGTTCGAAATGAAATATGAAGATAAAGAACAGTAATCGAGCTCAAAAGTCCCTTGAGACAATACAAAGTTGGAGTAGAGCAAACCCGGACCTCTAAAGACATCAGAGGTGGGATCAGGTGCCCTGGAGGAGTAAGCATCCCCTGTCGACCGGTCACAACCGCCCTGTGCTCATTGTCATGATCGGGCAAACGGAAAAAAAATCTGTGGACAATTCGGTGAAAATGATGGCCTATCAATATGTATGAAAAAGTAACTCAACATTCGATTTAATGATAGACTGTATTTGCCGACAAGGTCACTGCATCGACCATAGAATTTGAGAAATATCGACTTTAAATGAGACTGTTGATATTCTTGTGTCATCAACTAATTTGTAAATAGATTGCCTCGATTTAGAAATTGAACGTACGTAGAGTATGCCCTTACGTATCGAATCAACTAGGAGATATAAACCCCATATGAAGGTTATTATGGCACACAGCTACATAAATAAAAGAAGTTTTCGATAGAAAAGTTGAAGTCATCATGTTTATCATAATTTTTTGTTGTTATGACATCATTAGCGTCTTTTTCTAGTGAAAATCCAGATATGAAACAGATGTGTCCGATTCTGTGATATCTTTTATTTCGAGTTCAAAGTGATATATCGAATCAACGTAGGAATGAAAATGAATATTGTTAATTGATAAAGCGTCGTTGATATAGCTAAATGTTGAATGGAAGGTCACAGCAAGACTTTTTCTTTTCATGTAAAAGTTTTTGATTAAAAACTGCTTCATATGAATACAAAAATAGGTCTGTTAACAACGGGGAGCAATTACTACCCATGGGAATTCCGACAAATTGTTGGAAGACTTGATCTCCAAACCCAACATAGACTGTCAATCAAAAATTAAGCATCAAGCGCAAATGACCAATGCCAAGGTAGGTAAATTTACAAATTCCATTTTCATTGAAAAAGCAGCTGTCTATGCTGTCATAACGCTTGGACTTTAATCTAGGTAGGAAATGGTTGTATAAAGTGTTGAAAAGTCGGACGTTTTGATTTTGATAAAAAAATTATTGCAAATGAAGTGATATATAATGGCTCTATTCTATGGTGGAAAATGGTTGCATAATGCGTTGAAAACTGAGACGTTTTAACGGTATTGATTTTGGCAAAAATTATAATGCAAATAAAGTGATATATCACGATATTTGGTAACCTGATTTTCTTGATTTTCAGAAACATGATATTCCGATTCTGAGTCAGTCGAGTATGCAGCTTTGCCGTCAGAAATAAGTATCACTCTAGCTCTGCAGGTAAATGGGCCAATAGGGGTATTCCATTCTATAAAATATAATATGTAGTGTGGCATTCGATATCTACTTTAATGAACAGTTTATGTTTTTCAAACAAATAAAACAAATTATTTGTAATTTGACTTGTATAGATCAAATCATTGAGATGTATTAATTTTAAATTACTGTAAATGGGACGTACGTTCGTTTTCCAAGGCTGATATAGCCAAAAGGAATCCTTCGATCATTGGCGATGGTCCACAACATGACAATTCATCTTTAAATGTATAGTTAGTCTTATAAAATGATGAATTAGTGTGATTACATATATGATAATAATCAGTATGAAAACTGACATTTTCTAACCTAATACTCGAATCAAGGATTCATAGTTGTTGGATAAATAGTGCAAATATTTAACTTCTGTTCCAAACTGTACCACTGCAACATTTTCATCCAACATGGAATGTGTTGCATAACCTATAAATGCATTTCATTTCATTAGTCTTTTGTTTAAATTTCAAAATCTTGATCGATATGTCATTACATCTGTATTTTCTTCAATCAATCTATAAATAGGTGTAATTTTTGGTAAAAATGAATTCTTATAGAAATTTAATACCTTCTATAAAGGATGCGAAAGCTTCTTTCATCTGTCGACACCCTTCTCCTTTCATGCTCTCTGATGTATCTAATATGAAAAGATTGCATACTCCACGACCTTCGGTTTGTTTTCTTTTTTGACCTTCATTTAATATTCAACAGGCTGAATAAGTTGATGCAAATAAGATTTGTGTGATTGTAAACCATAAATATATATTAATGAGCCATTTTCTCTGCTGAATATTTTTGAATACAACTTGTGATTTTGAAAAATATTGTAAAAACACGAGGAGCATTTTGCAATAACAAAAATTGAACTTTTAAACGTAATTTGCATTTTCAGAGGTAAAATAATAAAATTTGGAAATTAACAAAATTTAACATATGCTACACAACTGTATGTGTTAGATAATTCTCACAAAAGGAAGCCTAAGCCTCAACTCTTAATTCAGTATGAAAAATGATAATAGCAAGCAGGATCACTTACGTTCCGTGGCTTCTTTACTCAATCGTTTTGCCAAAGAATGTTCCTCAATACGCCCAGCCATTAAGAAATGTGTCTTTACTAACTCATCTTACACTGTATCATGGGTTAGTAAATTCATTACTCTTATCATTTATAAAAGCTTCAGTTTCTTTCAAATTTGTTTTAATTTGGTTATGAAAATATTTCCTGGTAAGTTCTAAAAACAGGAATAACGGAAGACCCATAAATAAAAATTTAAATGACAAAAAAAGCTTTTACAGAAAGCATTATTGCTAGCTATTTGCAATGTTTAATAGTAATTTTCCTGGTTATATTTTTTAAGCTGAAGTGCCAATCAACCTGACTAAGACTAAGTCTAAACCTTTAGCTTTGCGTTAAAAGGGAGTTAAGTTCTTTTTGCAGCAGAATTTGATCCAAGAATTTCAAATTAGTGACTGTACCTTCGCCAAATGCTCAACAGAAGCTCTATATCACAACAGACTCTGACACAACATCACTGCATTTGAGCGGTTACATGTCTTAATCTGAATTTCACTAAAAGTTTATAGTATCTGTGTTTGAGTGAAATTCTTGCTAAAAATGAATAATCAATAAAACAACAAGCATACTCTCATCCGTGTCTTTTAATAATTTTCACAATGAATAGCATTACTGTTCATTTACACACAAAGTGATAATTAATTTCCCATGTAATGAAAGTGGTGATCTTCTCCATGTGATTTAAAATTTCTCGAGAAGAATAAAACATCCATAATTCGCATGTTTCTTACGTGTACTTTGAGTAATAGGGATTTATTCATAAGAGTTGGCAATAACTTTCACACGCAGCACTGTTAAGGCGTACTTCGAAGAAATCAACAGAATATAAACGTGTATAAATACATACCTTTTTAAAATGAATTTAATTTTGTAAAGGTACTATATTATCTTATGACTTTAACATTCTTTGAAGTAACGTTGTATACCCCGCTCTGTACTGAATTTGGTTTGGTCACGTTATTTGATAGTCACGTGATAAATGCATGTAATGTGTACTGTATGTAGGTCACAAACAAATTTCAATATCGCAAGGGCATACCCTAGTTAAAATTAAAAATCAAAGTAATAGATTGTTTCTACATAACTTGTAGTTTATGGAAAGTGCTGCTGCTTTAAATAGAATTTGCATTTTATTAGTTTAAATTTCATGTTATCTTGCTAATGTCGAAATATGTGTGACCTTCACAAAGTATTTTATGTATTTATTAAGTTATGCTATCGATTTCAGGAAAGCAGCAGCACTTTTCAAGTTAAGGAATATGTCCATTATATGTATTCAAAAAGTGGTCAAGATCTATGAAGTGTATGCCCTTGCGAAAAGGCGATTTAATGAGGCACCTCGGCGTGAAACATGCACACCCTGTAGACAAAAACACGGTAGAATTAATTCAATACATTCTCTCGATAGTTTTTAAATAATGACACTAAACAAATGTTTCAGATTTGTATTAATGGTCTACCTAAGATTTTCAAATAATATTCTGTTTAATAATAAAATGCATTTTTCACTGTGAAAAAATTACTTGATCCGCCTCTCATTGCACATAAAATGCGTCAAACTTTACCATTATGACGTCATGTCGACAAGTGCATTGCGATCAGTGACTTGTTTATATCTTGCTGTGTGGGATTTAACTAGGGACAAAAATGAATGTAGTGGTAAGTTTTGATGTAGTTCATTACTCTTATGCAGTTTAGATATTTGTGTGATGTCACAGTAAACTTTTCCCGTATAAATTAGGCCCCGCCCCCTTTATGCAGCCTTAACAGAGCTGCGCACCAAGCTGAAAGATACTTGGTGAGAATGTTATTGCTAATTCGTCAGGTACATTCTTGGCAAAGGGGATTATATATAAGTTCAAATGTGAAATATCCCTTGACGAGAATATCCTTATTGGATAATAGGGTACTCCTAGGCAAAGTGATGTCACACGTAAAACAACCTAATTAAATCTTTTTAAAGAAAAGAACAGGTGCACTTACGGGTAACTTAAAAGATGAAAATATGAAGATTCAAATTATGCATAATTTTTCAACTCATCTAAACTATAAGATTCAACAAATTTTAGCGCTGAAATTCATGTTAATACAAAGAGGAATCTACTGGGGCTACCACAGGGTTTTACAACAAACAAGTAATACAACAAATGTGACGACCAAAATCGGGCGGATCATCCACTGGGTAGGTCACAAGTGCAAGAACATCACGAATTCAATTATCAATCAAATTTAATAAATCAATCCTCAATCAATCAATCAATTCAATATCAATCAAGTCAATTGTCAATTACAAGCCAATGCACAAATTCAAATCCTGAATTTCAATTTACAACACATGTGCAATAGGATAAACAATGGAATGAGCGTAAGAATATGTGTTGCACTCTTCCAGTTGCGTTGAGAACAGAAATAACAGTATTTACATAATTCACTGGAATTCACTTGGTACTCTGGAACGCATTCGCCCGGCAGCTCTCTCCGCGGCCTAATTATAAAACACAATTCGCACATTAAATATATTTTTACACAAATGGTAAGCCATATTTGACTATTCAGCAGTACTGCTTTACACAAACTTGTACTCAATGGTTCCCATTACACTTCTCATTACATTTTTTACTCTACTCAGACTTTACTCAATTTACAATATCGATTACCCAACGTTACACTAACTGAACACCATACTGAAACCAGCAAAAGTTTATAATTACTACTTACAAAACTATTTATAGAAACACTAAAACTAATAAAAACACTACTAACACAATAAACAATGAAAAAATTCACAGAATACTTAGTATAAAATAAGATAAAAGCATGCTATTTGAACAAATTTATCCCAGGACCTTGAAATGTAAAAGTACACTAAATAAAAGAATAAATAACTTTACTCACCTCAGAAATCGAGTGATGGTTTTTACTGATGAAACTTTATGAAAACTTGAGTGAATTTAGACGAGTTAAGGTCTGACGACACGTTCCTCGAATATCTGGCTTTGCATTTCTTTGTAATATACCAAAAATCTTTATAATTATAATCATCATTTGATTTCTTAACTATTTTCAAAATCTCTGAAAAATATATAAACCAAAAATCGCGATATCAGCAGTTCAAGTGATTTTATGTGTGGAAATCTATTAAAGTAGCAATATTTCAATCACAAATTCTTGGGAAAATTTATATATTTTTGAGGAACGTGTCGTCTGTCCTTAAAGTCATTTTCAAAACATCAAGAAACCCTGTGCATAGTGTAGCGTAACACGACAGGAAAAGAGAGAGAATCATCCGAATACATGTATGTCCAATGAATATCCATGAAGATACAGGGCTCCATAAAGTATAAAATAAAGAAGGTCTCCTACAGTATGACTGAGTGTTACATGTATGCACATTAAGATGAAAACAAATATATAGTAAATATGACACTGAACATCTTCCAGTCCAGACTCAGTTGTTAAATACTCGCTTTACACACACACACACACACAAGAATAAATCAGAACTTAGAATAGGGTTTTGGTTCTCCTAACTTACATAAGGAATGAAACATGTAAAAATAAAGAAAAGTGATCGAATCAAAAAATATAACCAATACAAATCTATGGGCAGGGCCTAAACATGGACCCCTGGAAGTTCAAGAGGTTGGGTCAAATGCCTCGGATGAGTAAGCCTCCCCTGTCGATCGGTCACATCCACCGTGAGTCCTTTTACTAATCAGGTATTTAGTAGTGAAATTTAGTATAAAAACAAAGGACTAACAATTTGTATAAATATATAACAGAAAACACGATCCAAAAATGATTATATTTGCTAACAAGGTCATTATAACGGCCATAAAATTTACAAAATGCTGCCGAAATGGTTGAAATCCATCAGCTTATATGTCACTAGCCTACCTTGGTTTAAAAATTATTCATACTCAGAATATGCTCTTGTGTACTTAAATTAGTTGTGAAATATAATCAGCATTAACGGTCCCTTATAACAAATGAAAAGATAGTTATTCCTTAAATTCAAGGTATGCAGATTTAATCATGATTATAATTATGTATATGCTTGTTTGCTTTGCTGATTTATACTAGCTAATGCTACTATATTAAATTATGCTCGTGAAAGTAATAACTGCTTCTTGTTTCTTGTTCTAATTCTGAATTATGGAAAAGAATTTGGTCAATGTAATGCATTTGAGGCAGTGGATCACTCAGGGTGATGCATATTGATTTAAAGACTTTTATTTGTGCTTATGCTGCATTCCGTAACAGAAAATTGATCCCCATATTGCAATTAGCTGATAACCAAAGTCCAAGCGATGGGCATGGCTGCATAAATTTCAGTTTCTGACTTATCCTTTTGTTCGTTTTAAAGCTTTTCCGTTACCTGAAAAGTTAATCTATAGAACTTTATCCATCCACATGGAAAATTAATCTGCTTAATCCTTTATTTAGAAATTAAAATGAAATCAAATACTTCTTTATATACAAATTTTTAATTATCAAATACTATAAAACGTGTTATTTTAGCAACCGGGAGTGAGTTATAATGTAGGCATTTTTTATTTTCGTTATTAAGTTTTAGCAATTGTTCTTTCATCATTTTTCTTATTTCTAGACCTTATTTGTAAGTAAAGTATAAGTAAAAGATTTTTAGCATTGCCACATCCATTTCTTATAATGCCGTTCTACGGTAAATTATGATAATTTTCCTACGGCATATCGTTGTTTTCCTTTTTGAAAGGGTGCAACTCCCATTATTTATAATAAAAATCGACATACATCCAAAATAACAGCAAGGAAAATGAATCTTGATCTGAAAATGTCCACTCGACTTTTAACGCACACTCTAAATTTTTTTTACGATTTATGAATTATTGCAACTACAATTTTTTTGTCGGAACATGCAAGTATGTCCATTTCCTGTAACCCCTAACATTTTGTTAATGCGAGTGATTTTTTTTATCCGGCCGTTTGACTGCACGTAAAATTAGTTTGTCTCATACATATTTTCATACGTTGACAGAATGGATTTTTCTATCGTTTATTGTATCGTTGTGATCAATTGGTTTCCAGATAGGTCTTTCTGCTGCCTTCTACAACAGACTGCAGTTATGAACTTTTTCTGTGATCCCCAGGTGTCGAGTTTCATTTTATAACTCCTTTTATTTCAGTATGGCAGACTCGTGTTACTTTATGAAATATTTAAACCTTAAACATTTAATATGAAACCAATTAAATTTTGTTCATTTTTTGTCGTTATTTTTCCTTAGTATTTATCAATATGTGATGAAATGTGTTTACTGAAATGTATCTAGGCCTTAAATGCTGTAGGTAAAATATGATCTTAATTCATCTTAGTTTATTTAAAAAACAAAATCAGAACAAAATACAGTCAATACGTAAAAAAAGAAAGAAATCATAATCCTAGGTAAAATTAACATTAAATGTATTCATTGGACATGAAATAATGGATGTTTCATTCATATTAAAGGATATCTTCTAATTTTCTGTTCCTCTGTTTCAGGAGATCCAGGGTAGTTCGAGCTGTGTTGATTATTCAATGAGTAGAGTACCGAGGGATCAAATGGATCACTGAATGAAAATGATAATGGTTATTGGACGTTTTTTATCTACAATAAGTTGTAAAACAGTCACAATTTTGAGGTGTTTATCTGATATGTAGCGTAAACTGTGACTAGGATGTGTAAATATAAGTACTTACCATAACTCAACGTCATATTTGTTGTCATATCCGTATCTATAGTTACTACGATTACCATTTGGCCATTTTACCTAAGAATTAAAAAGTATTTGAGAATAAAATGCTCATTCATAAGTCACGCTTTCTCTATTTTTTGTACGTAAAATTAATTTAAAATATTTTCAATAATGTAAAAGAGATGTAAATACAAAAAATAAATAAATAAATAAATAAATAAATTTAAAAAAAAAAGAAAAAAAAGAAAAAGTCCGTATCATATTATTTTCCTTTCTTTCAAATAGTTTATTCATTATTCATTAAACGCTTCATACATGAACAACAGCATCTTGTTTGACTCTATAAACACTGCCTACATTTCCCTCTCCGCCATCTTGATCTCCCCATTTCCAATCAGGACCTTTAATGAAAGAAAGTAACTTTGATCCATTGTGTTTAAATATTATGATAGTACATATACAGTTTTTAATATGTTTTCTGGTGTGGCTTTTGGGGCGACCACAATTATTACGCTTGTTTTGATCCGCCTCCTCAAACCGCAAGAGGCATAATCTAAAATTCGACATCAAATGAAGTCGCATGCTAATTTTATTTCCAGAGCATAGTCTGAATAGTGCATTTAATTTTCGTTTAAGGAAATGCATTATAGATTAAATGTAATTTTTTTCTTTCTTTGAAGCTCTATGCAAGAATTAAATCTCCACAATAATTGCGTGTCTATTTTATTTGCAATTATAGCATGGAATGCTGGTAGCGAAGGAATTCTGGGAAAGTTTCACTAAAAGAATTGCTCGATATATACAGATTTCAGTTCAAATTCCTTTGTTTTTACTTGTTATTCTTTTGGGCTCGCTTCGCTCCCTAAAAAGAAATAGAATGAGCACAACTAAAAGTTATATATGAAGTTATGTTTACAAACTCAGATAACCAAAATAAAAAGGAATGTCTATTTGTTTTAATACTTTATATAAGGCTAGGGCTTTTCTGTGAATTAAACAATATAACTTAATCGTGTTTCAACGATATCAAAAATCTAAAGCAATATGCAATTTATTTCTCGCTTCAACAAAATTAATAGAGATTTGAATGACAGAGTTTAAAGTCAATTTAACTATAGAAAGGTGAGGTTATCTGAGTTTAAAATCTTTGGAAATTTTGATTTGAACGTACATAACATATATGTATCTACACTCAATTTCGCATCATTATTGTTTTAGTTCAGATACGCCATATGTAGCTTTAAACGGGTTGAAACGTTGAGAATTTTTTTTCAGTGTTAAGTTATAAACAACATTTATCAGTTTAATGAGTACTAAATAGATAAAGGCGTTTAAAAAATTATTCTTTACCCTCGTTAGATTAAGGGGAATCTTTGAAAAATATAACTGATCGTAAAACCAAAACATGCAATACCTCTTCTAACTAAGCAGCCAACGGCTATCAGTTCATTCTCTAGAATCCTTGGTTCTTTGCATGGAGTAATATCATATTTTTCAATCAGACTATCAAAACCATACTGGTAACTCAATCTGACACCACTATCCCATTCTACGATGACCCAGCCAACTGGAAAAAAATGTGAAAGTTTTTTGTTTGTCATTTTATCCTTCATAGTAACTTCATCAACTCTAGCATTTACTCGTTCGAAAAATTTCATGTAATGAAAATAATTTCACTTTGTGTAAAGTGCATTTGGTAGCTGGGAAGCTTGAGAGGTAATCATACCTCTATCAGAGTGTCCAATCACTGTACCAGGACCGTGACTGTCTTGATTTTTCCAAGTCCAGTGAGGTCCTCGTTTTACCCTTGTACCAATTCCAGGAAGATTTTCATATCGTTCAGTGAATACATCATCCTCTAATGTGTCAGCAGTAATTGGTTTGTAAACATCTAATTCATTAATTATATCATAAATGTCCTCCTTAAAGGAAAAGTAGGCATAAATTTTCCCAAACTGTTTCTTGATGTAGACACTATTTTTCTCTAATTCAATTTCAATAAAGTCTTATACGAGGGCCATTCAAAAATTACACGGACTTGTTGCACAGAAAACAATTTTGTCGACATTCAAAAAACAGCCAAGGTACGCATATTACAAAAGAATCTTTACTTAAGTTTCATTTCAAAATACTGTAAATTGATAGCAATTTTGAGTCATTCCTTAGGACCTATCATGAAATCACGGGAAATTAAAGTAAAATCTGAGACGTAATAGGCATCATAAAAAAATGTGCGCTCTCACTTTCCCAACGTTTTTCCCTTCGTGTTTGAAACTCGTTGACAGCTTGTGTTACCTATCCGTTAAGCATATTATTAAACATTCATTTAACCTTTCTGGTCCAACTTGAAAACTTATAACTAGTATTATACTAGTATTTATAATCTGTTTTTAAATTCAAAAACTGTACATATCTCTGATATAGTATTACTCCCAGCGCTCTCAATCGCGTTTTTAACAATCAAGTTTTCATCAATGAACTACTTCTGTACACTTCCGGATTGCCTTTTACCAAGGTCCTACCATACAAAATGTTCTTATGCTAATTGTAGACAGAAGTCTGACATACCATGTTTTGAAAACCATTTTGAGTCTCTGTTGGCATTTCCCCGAGCAATAAACATAATTTGAAAAAAGTGCAGCTGTTTTCATAGGGAACATATCGGAGAAAAATTACAATTATATATCTAGAAGAACTTTAAACATTAGCATTCTAAAAGTATAACAATGAAATATTAGATAGAAAATATGGGGGAAATTGTCGAATAATATCGTATGTTATACAAAATAAATGAGTGAAAGTTTGGATTCTATAATTAAGTTTTTTAAATTTTTTGCCGTGCTCCATGCATCACTATCGACAGTATTAGAACAGCAATATTTTTAAGAGAAATTAATTTATATTCAAAAAAAAATTTACCGCAATTTTACTGGATTCATTAAAAAATATGTTTTTTTAAAAAAAAATTATTACCATTTGAGTTCTGTAAGTGTGAAAATTAGCAGAGTTCGTGTAGTTTTTGAACGGTACTTGTACAAATCAACTCATTCAGCAAAGATTATGATATAAACATATCATGTTGTTTAAATAGTTTTATGGAACACGATGTTAAGTTAAAATTTAAATGATTGAAATTGATGAAAATTCTAAAATTATCATATACCACATCACTGCTAGATACATCATCTGAAGACGATATTCTGGCCATTTTTTCTATGTCTTCCCGTGTTAATTTAGTTGTTATCCTTTCTTCTACAATGCACGAAACAGTTCTCTGTAACCAAACAAGAGTACCGTATAGTACATGTATTTGGCATCAAACACTCCCTCTAAAGATCAATATCTAAATCTTCTCACCATGTTGAGTGCAAATCTTCCACACTGCTTAGCATCAGAATGGGATATAAGTCTGCCTCCTTTTGCCAATTCCACCAACGACTTTAAGAAATCCTTAAGAAGATAACCCCAAAACTATGTCAAAAGGCAATTATTTCTGCACATCTAGTCAATTAAGATGCTTCTTTTTTTAAATAACATAAGATCTTCGGAATAAAACAGCAGCAATACAAACAAAGTAAAAAGAAAAAAAAAACTTTAATGCACCACATTTGGGTCGGATCCTACAGGAATACATATGATGGGATTTGTCCTTCCGATTTTTCTAGACAAAGATTGTATTCTTGTGGAAGTCTGAAAACATACGCATGTGTAAAGTAATGCTTAAATATCAGAAAGCTTTAGATTTGATTTTATGTTTTTATGTAGAAATGTGATATTATACATTTATTGCCTGATCGTGAGGGAAATATGAAGATTTATTCAGCCAAGAAAAATCATATTCCCCGAGGGCTACTCCCGAGGGGAATATGATATTTCTTGGCTGAATAAATCTTCATATTTCCCGAACATTCATGCAATAAATTGTTTATTATACCGAAACAAGCAAAAACTTTAAAAATAAAAAAGAAATTTAAATTCGGCACCGCTCTCAAATTCACTTTCAATTTTAACGTAGAGTTACTGAAACAATTTACAGAAGTCTATCAGCAACAAGGCTATTGTGACGTCTTAACTACTCTCGGGAGTTTTCGTTCAACGAACGATAACTATTGCGGGAAAATGCACCAGGTCTCCGAAGAGGTTGAATATTATGAAAAGCATGACAACGACAGGGAAATATGAAGTGTTATGGCCCAGTCACATGATAATCTAGAACCGATCAGATAACGCGTTGTATTGAATAATTATAATGAGGTATAATAAAACAGCTTATGTACTTATAATTAGTACCGTTAGAAATACATGAAAGACAACACATTTTATTTATTCTGAAGTAATTTTCTTTTGAAAAAAAAAAAACCCTATTATAATTGAAATATTTGACATTTAAATTTGTGTAAAAAGATTTTTTTTCATATTTTCATGAAAAAGTGCTTTATTCTATATATAGCTTCTTCTAATTCACCGGTACATTAAATAAAATGTGTATATCTCAGGCTTTTTAGGTAATATTGATAATATTTACATTTGATATATTTAAAATTATCTAGCAACCATAAAAGTAGTTTTGTAATTGATTACACCATCAAACATTGATTCTCTGCTCGAATCGTCTAGTTCTGGACAACTTATGTTTGCTGAGTTTGATGGCCGACCGTCTGATATTATTACCAATCTTGCTCTTGCGATTATATCAGGAGTAAAAACTGCATTGTGGCCTAAAAAGGAAGCGTGATTTGATTATAATTGTACGATGGCCGACAGCGGCCGTCACTTTTGATTAAGAAAACATGTATTGTCATTTTGTACAGACATTTTGTCAATTTTCGATGACGAATCACAACTGAACTGGTACTGCTATATGTACATGTACAATTATTTAACTGACAATTTCTATAACAGAAAATCATTAAAATTCCTTCTTGTAATATGAAATGAAGATACATAAAAGAGGCTACTTGGAATTAATAAGCGTATGGTTCTAGCAGAAGTGCGAAGTCGAGGTAATTTTAGATTAATATTGACATATAGATATGCTTTTTCGACAGATTGTCGTAATTAATTCTTAAAATTCATTGTTGGTGTACGACTGGTCTAATATTGATCACATCCAGGATTTTTGGGGTATATTAGAAATTTGATTTTGATATATATTGCAAGTGTCTTTGATGTATGAATTTTGATATTTTAACAATGCGCACAAAATAATTTCATCATAGTAGTTACCTATAATTTCTTTGTCGTGTCACATTACTCACTTATAAGTAATTTGCCGACTAGGTGGAAGTCTTTGGAAGCTGCGTTGGATTTGCAAAAGTGTTTCAAGCACTTGATTATTAATTTTATATATCATACTTTCATGTAAATAACTTGAATCTGATTCGTCGAGAAACATTTGTTAAGAAACACAATTACTCGCTGAATGATGAAGCCACGCCCTCTAGCGTAGCAACAGTCAACATTGCTTGACGACGGGTGATATTCCAAAAAATAGTGACTGGGCAGAATTTAAATTCTGCGCGCAAGGTTCACTGTAATATGTGTTTATATAAAAATAATCAGTATGATATGATAAATATCGCATGTAGTTGAGTGTCACATTGCAAATTTTCACCCCGAGAAAACCACTGTCAACCTCGGCTGCGCCTCGGTTGACAATTAATGGTCTTCTTGGGGTGAAAATTTGCAATGTGACACTCAACTACATGCAATATTTATATAATATTTAGAGAGTAAATATAGTCGCACATATTTCATTCTTGCTTTAAAAGGGTTTATTTCCATGTCTCCAGTTCTGTTTTTGATACATTCCAAAACTTTAGACTGGATGGTCTAGATCTCATGTAGAGCTACATATAATCCTGTTTTACCTCTACGTAACAGGCACATGTAGAATCGAACTGTCTAATACATTCTGAGATACATATATGTTTATGTATATCCATTACAGCAAAAGTATTATTTTTATCCGCTTTTTTAATTGCAATCCCTAATATTTTTTTTAAAATGATACAACAAGGAAAAAAGGTTTCAGATTAAAATTGTTACGTCTAGCATGTATGACTATCAGGATTACAATATCTCATGCAAGCAAATTAGGAGTGAAAATCATTAAATGCTTCTTGTCTCTTTCAAGTCACCTATTTTATGTATCTTAATTTCATATCACAAGAAAAGAATTTTAATGTTTCTCGCTGGTAGAAATTGTCAGTGAAAGAATTAACCATACATATACATATAGATAACCAGCTTAGTAAACTGTTGTAATTTGTCAACGAAAATTGCTTAAAACAATGTACAAAATGACAATATTCTTAATCAGAAAGTTGCAGCCGCTGAGGCAATCGTATGATGGGTGATTACATCTTCTAAATATGATAAAATATCTAGTGATATATCTTACAGAAATTATGTCTCAGATTTTTTAAAACATTGTTTACACAATGAAATTATTGTTTTTCCTGGTTAGTTTCTTGATCTGTCTGTCAAAATTTATTCTTACGATTAATTCTAGGATATTTACGACAGACGCCTCTTTTTTTTTTCTAGAGGAAATATTAGGTCGTAGCTTTATTTGTGTCAACAAAATGAATATACATGTGTATTGAATGTGTAGCAAGGAAAAGAATTAATTTCCCAGCACAAAAAAAAAAAAAGAAAAAAAAAAAAGAAAACTTCCGCTTTGATTTTTGCATTTATCTAAATCTGTGATATTTAAAGGCAGAAAATAGTACCATACATTTTTCTAAATATCCTTATATTTTTCTATTCTGGAATTCTAACGTTAAAGTAATTTCCTGTATTCTGATATTACTTTGAAATATGTTAGAAATCTGGAATTGAAATGGGGGGTCGTCTTGGTAATAATATATTCATTAATTTAAAAGAAAAAAATCTATGCAGATGAAATGAATTTTTAAAACAAAATCTTCGATATAGTTCTATATATAATGTTTTTTTTATTTTACAATATTGAGTACTGTTGATTTAAACTGTACCTCCGCCGTAGTGTAAACACGATAAGGCCAGAAGCATGCCTGCTTCCATTGGTGAACTTCCTCTGCACGCTATGTTACCTTAACAAAATTTATAGTTCAGTAATTTTTACAAATTTTGACAGCAGCATGTAAACAAAAAGACCATTTTAAGTTCTACAAGAGAGTGTAACTAACTACATGTATACGTACCAAGGCACTGTCTAATAGATCTATAGTTGTTCGAATAATAATGCAAGAATTTCACCTCTTCGCCAAACACAATGACAGCAACGTTTTCGTCGAGATGTGGATGAATAATGCATTCTAGAAAGAAATGAGAAACACCCAGTCATCGTTCTTGTTGTGTTTCTTTACGTATTCTGATTAACATTCACATTATCTGCAATTTTTTTATAAAAAATCTTTTACACTGAAAATTGCATAAGAATTTCCTAAAACAATTACAAATATCCTGAAACTCCGGTGGTAGTATAACCACAAAAATAAATGTACAAAAGATATGCACATAAATGTATATATTAATGGAAATAGACAATTAAAGTTTATAAGTTTAACTGATATTGATAGTAATATATCAAAGTGGAAACCATTTAAAATGTCCATGCACGCCCTCTTCATTTGATAGAAGCCATCTCCTGCCATGCTGGCTGATGTATCCAATAGAAAAACCGTGCAGACACCTCGCCCATGTTGGTGGCTTCTTTTTCGATCTTTGAAGAGATCGAAGAACATACTTTTTAATCGTAATGTAACTTTGCAGAATACACACAAACATGTTCTTAGAAGTTGTTTGTGTATTTATATATACATGTACACATAAACGAAAACACATGAAACAAATACATACTTTCCAATGCCTCTTGTCTGGCAAGTCTATTCCAATAGTGTACATCAACAGATCTATGCATTTCCTAATCTTTGAAAGAGGCATATCAACATTGTAGATTATTCATAGCATGTGATATCAATTATATTGATAAGAGTTTTGCAAAGAATTTACTGTACCTATACCAGTACCTTCCTCTTACATAACAAAACATACACTTCCTTATCATAATCCACTGATCTTTATTTCCTCAGGAAAATGTCTGCCTTTTATTTTCATTATATTTATAAAAATCCACTCTAATAAATAAACCGATGCGCATATCTATTTATATCAGTCATTCATAATTTCTTGGAATCGTCACCAGTTGAAATTACATACAAAAGTTCCTAAAGGAAATTCTTTTCCAGCATTTATAGCAAACAAGCCGATCCTTCCTCTTATTCAGTAACAATCTACAAACAAGGCATGTTTTGGAGGGTAACGATTGAAATTTAATTAATTATACTAAAAGCACACCATTTAAAAATATATAGACCATAATAATCCTTTAGATGCCTTAATCCTGCTATAAAGTAAATATGTGAAGATATTTGAAACTATACTATGAAAGATATATACCTGAAGATTGTTAAAAATAGTTGATCTTATGAGAATACTTCGGTATATTTCTGAGAAAAGAACAACATTAACACCTATTGCTGCATGACCCCTTCCTGCTACCGTGGTAGATCATGGTTTAAACAAAATAAACTCCCAAATCCTGGCCTATATCGGAATTCTGGCATTATCAACAATCCTTCAAGCATTTCAAAAATAAGTTAACAACATATAGTTTATGTCAAACAGAGCAGACCAGTTTACATTTCCATAGCAAAGGCAGCTATTTTGAATATTGTCTAACTAGATTTGAAGATATTTATTATTGTGTTGCACTAAGATTATCTGTGCCAAGAGATCCTGTGGACAAAATGCCACGGGCTTTGATTTGGCTTGTAAAACAACTTCAATACATCTGACCATGTTTAAGGTCGAATCAATAGTTCTTGAGATGGAGGGAATACTCAAAAATTTTATTTCCAGTAAAAAAAATGTAAACCTGTATTTAGATTGCTAAATCGCAAAATAATTGAACATAAAATGTAGATAAAATCACTAGTGACAAACTTGTGAATCTTTAATTTCATAATTCTTATGAATTCGGGGAAATTCAAGGGGTAAATTCATTAAATACGACACGTGCCACTCAAAGGACAAAGCATGGTGATGGACAAAGAACAAGGTCCACTTAAAGCCTTTTTGGCATTGTATAATTCTGAAAATTTGAAACTATAGCTTTAGTAATCATTTTACATCCTTGGTGTCTGCGTATCTGTCAAAAGTGACGTGATTTTCTGGCTATTCAATGTATTATGACGTTTTATGACATAGTGCAGATATTAAGTCTCAAATTTTAATTTAGTATGAAAAATAACAGCATCTATATGAATATAATATAGATGCCTTTATCTTATGGGGAAATGTTCGGCGTACAAAATCGGGTTCGGTATACGCATCCTTTTTTACATGCGCTTCGAACTGAAAGGTAGCATAGTTCTAAGCTCTTGAAAATTTCCAAAAAATAATCTCAATCCTGCTTTATTTTTTTTTTTAAACTTGTTTGAAAGAATAATTTTAGACACATTGGTGATGTTTGTTTACATCGATGGCTTAGTTTAGCTGTATTTAAAGAGTGATTTTCGTGAGATTGAAATCGTTAAAAAAATTCGAATAAACGCGGCTTGTACACTTTAATATCTTTTATATATTTTGTAGAAAATTTTAGTGTAAATTTAAAAAGTATTTTTTGCTATTGTTATTTTGTTTGTGATATCACAATGCCACGGGTCAAATCCAAGAGGACCAAGGATACGACATTGCGAAGGCAAGCAACCAAGCCAAGACCTAAACAACCAAAGCCGCGCCAGCAGAGGTTGAAAAAGAGTCTGAGATGGTTCCAGTCGTCCTTGAACAACTCAACAAAAATAGCGAGACTGTTGGTTTTCAAAGCCCTACAACGACAGTTGCAGGTGTGCAATCTTCTGCGACATCACCCCCTGTACCTCAGAGTCGATTATTCAGAATGCCATGGGTGAATCACAAGGTACACCTCAAATGCTACAAAGTATTACACATCAGCTGGCAGTTAATGTGTCACAAAATATTAAATCAAAAATAATAAGTTCAGCTTATGTAGATCTTGCTTTGCTGCTTCACAATACTAATGCTGTACCCTCAGAAAAATCTATCTACATTAATGAAAAGGGGGGACTCGTCACAAGGGAAACTAATAAACCATCTGTCAAAATTGATAACATTGAAATATGGACGGATGCTTTTATTATATATAGCAACATATACTCCGCAGTTCACCTTGATTCAGTTCAAGGGTTATTCAAATACATGCATGATGTTAGGTTGGGAGCATCAAGGGTTGGGGGGTCTTGGTTTAAAAAAATATGACGAGCAATTTCGTCTTCGTCGTAGCCTTAATCCAACAATTCCATGGGGAAATGTAGACAATGAATTGTGGCTTATTTACATGTGCCCAACAAATGCATTTCAAACCCCAAGCACAGTCCCCTCTCTGTCAACATACACGTTTTGATTACAATTATAAAGGGATTTGTGTGCACCCAATATGTTCCTATAACCATGTGTGCATCAAATGTTGAGGTAACCAACCAGTTTCACAGTGCCCTCAGGCATCATCTTACCCTCAAGCTCAAATTCAATCAGGCAATTATGGGAATAACTATGGTCAGGTAAATACCAAAATTCCTTCCTTATCATCAGTTGCTCCTATTCGTTTTCGCCCCCGTGGACCACAGGCACAAATCCCCAGATCAAAGCTTCCAAGGCACTATCATTACTCATATTCCGCCAGACCTATGGGAATTGGGGAAAACACCAATTAATGTAGACAGGTTAATTGAAAGTCTTGAAACATACCCAAATAAAATTGCAGCACTTGAATTAAAACAGGGATTTTATGAGGGATTTAGATTACATTACAATGGTCCAAGGATTCATTGTATGTCAAAAAATTTAACATCAGCCTCTGATCATCTTGAGGAATTGTTGGATAAAGTTAGGAAAGAGGTAGAGATGGGTAGGATTATGGGTCCTTTTCTTAATATTCCATAAGCTAATCTCCATATTTCACCTGTAGGAATAGTACCAAAGTCAGATGGGGGGTGGCGTATGATCATGCACCTTTCATTTCCAAAGTTCAAAAGCATAAATCACTTCATAGACCCAGATTTATGTTCTGTCCATTACTCATCATTTGACAATGTGGTTGAAATGATAGCTAATCTTGGGAAAGGGGCCTTGCTTGGTAAAGTAGACATCAAAAGTGCATTTAGACTTATTCCTGTAAACCCAAGTGATTTTGATTTGTTGGGCTTTTCAATTGATTCTTTATTTTACATAGATAAGTGTTTACCTATGGGTGCTCAATAAGTTGCAAAATTTGGGAAACTTTTGCCACATTTCTGCATTGGTTAACAAAAGTTCGGTCAGGGTTAGATTCATTGGATCACTATCTTGATGATTTTATTTTTGCTGGAAGGTTAGGAACAAACAGTTGTCAAAAACTAATGTCAGAGTTCATAAATATGTGTACTGAGCTCGGTATTCCATTAGCAGAGGATAAGACCATTGGCCCTGTTTCTGTACTTACATTTCTAGGATTAGAGATTGATACCATTAATATGTTGATTAGGATCCCTCAGGCAAAAGTTGATATTCTAAAACAAATTATACATGACTTTTTGGCAAGAAAATCAGTTTTATTGAAAGAACTAGAATCATTAGTAGGAATGTTAAATTTCTTTGGAAAAGCAATAAGGTCCAGTAGGGCATTCAATCGTAGGTTTTACGATGCTATGAGTGGTGCCTCAGAAGCTCATCATCATGTAAGGTTATCAGTTGAGTTGAAGGAGGATTTATATATGTGGTCTAAGTTTTTAGAGGAGTTCAATGGGATTTCCTATTATCCAGATAAAGATTGGATAAGTTCAGATGTACTAAAATTATATACAGAAAGTGCAGGAAGTGCAGAGCTTGGATGCGGTGCATATTTTCAGGGTAAATGGGTGTTTTTTCAGTGGCCATTAGCATGGCAAAGGACTGATATTCTTAGAGATATGACATTTCTAGAGCTAGTTCCCCTAGTATTAGCAATTAGTTTATGGGGCCATGACCTTAAGTGCAAAAAGGTTTTGTTTCACATTGACAACCTTGCTTTAGTCAGAATAGTAAACTTCCAAGTCCAAGAGAGTAATGAAGCTAGTTAGGCAATTGGTATTAATGCTTATGGAATGTAATTGTATTTTTAAAGCCAAACACATTATTAGTATTACTAATAGTATTGCTGATTCTATTTCTCGCAAGCAGTGGTGGCGGTTCAGGGAATTGGCTCCAGAAGCAAAGGAAAGTCCAGAACCCATTCCAACCAATTTTCTTCATTTGATTTGCAGTTGCAAGTAGAAAAACTATTGGATGCCTCCTTATCAAAGAATACAAAGCTAGCATACGATACTGGAATAACTGCATTTCAAAAATTTAGGGATGAATTTAGCTTTTCAAATATTTGGCCTCCACGCCCAGAGCATGTTGTTCAATTTTTAGCATATTTATCTCTGAAAAAGTTTACTTCGTCAGCTGCTAGATTGTATCTATCAGCAATAAGTTTTGAGTGCAAGTCCAGAGGTCTAGTTGATATCACAAAGAATGTTTTGGTTTGTAAGATGTTAGAAGGCATGAAGAGATTATCAGTTAAGAAAGATCCAAGACTTCCAATTACCCCTTCTGTACTGTGTAAAATAATTCACATATTACCATCAGTCTGTACAAATTTGTATGAGTCTCGTCTCTTTCAAGCGGCATACATGTTAGCATTTTTGGGGTTTTTGAGAGTTGGGGAATAGTTTTGATACTATCATTCATAGGTCAGACATTAACTTTGATTGTGACAATTCTAAAATGTATTTGACCATAAGACATTCCAAAAATGACCAGTATGGGAAAGGGGTTACCATTTGCATTGAAAAAACTGGTACTCTCCAGTGCCCAGTTAGGTACATGCTAGAGTTTCTGTCTATAAGACCTGCAGTCAATGGACCATTATTCTGCCGTCTTGACCATTGTCCTCTAACCAGATATCAATTTACAGCAGTTTTACATAAAGCAATAAATCTTCTTGGGTTTCAGAGCTGTAGCTATAAAGCCCATTCTTTTAGAATCGGGCTGCAACTACTGCTTACCAACAAGGGTGTGATCCAGATTATATTAGGGAGGCAGGTAGATGGAAGTCACAAGTTTACAAGTCTTATATTCGCTGCCCTATTAAGAAATTATGTTTGTAAAATTTATGCTTTACAGGTCATTCTACTGTTTGGTGTGTTGGGTCATCTATAGTTAAGCATGCCTTTCAGGCCGCCTTGCTTAGGACAGGAGGGGTTCACTTAGGATTGGAAAGGTTAGGGATGGATATCTGGTGGCAAGGCTACTCAGGTTTAAAGTTAATTAATTTAAAGAAAAAAGTACTGTTATTAGCCAAATATGAAGATTATCCCGACTTCTTGCTCATTCACTGTGGGGGGAACGATTTGGGGGAACCAGATTTACCTTTGTTTAAGCTTATTACAATAATGAAAGAAGATATAGAAATATTATCGCAGCTCCTCCCCAATACAAGACTTGTTTGGTTCCAAATTTTCACGCCTCGTTAGACAATTCTGCCATGGAACGGGCACGTGTACGATTGAATAGGGCAGCTGCTTATCAGGTACTTCATCTAGGAGGGGCTTATATCAAGAACCCAGATCTCATTAGGAACATAGAGTGTTTTTTGGCTAGTGATAAGGTGCACCTAAATCCGTTAGGCAATTCTGTATTCTTGAACAACATACAGGGGGGTCTTGAATATTTTAACAGTGGGTGTGGGTCAGTATTTCCTGACAGCCACTGTTAAGATGGGTGGTTACCATTACATGTTGGTCGTGGGTCAGTTGAATGGGGCTCCCCATGTGTGGGGTGACCTTAAACTTTTAAGTTTTAGGTCATGTGGCATTTGCGCCCATCCATTCAACTGATGTTTCAACCTTGTGCATCTGACTGTGTATGATGTTTTGAAGACATTGAACTGTGAACATTGGCTTGATATTTTATAATGTAAATACATTAACAATTTATTTCATTGTTCGCGGTCAACCCGGAACAAACAAATGCTGCTTGATTGTGCTGCTTATTTTATGCTTGTTGTTGCTATACTTGAATTTATTCAAAACTTTTTTCTAATTAAAAAACATTAATAAGCTTAAAGGTAAATGACTGTTTGCGGTAAACCTGGAACAGCCAAATAATTGATTTGCTTTGTATTGAGTTGTTGCTTGAATTTTGGGTCTGCCCTGCTTGGCGACCCTTTGCTGCTTATACATGTATATTATGCCACGACCAACAACGCCAAACAATAAATGTTTACATATAAATATTAATGTTTTTCATTTCCTCTATATAGATAATAATAGCATTAAGGATTACGTTCCATGGCCTCTTTACTCAATCTCTTTGCCAAAGGATGTTCCTCAATACGACAGATCGTTAGAAAGTATGTGTTCACTAACTCATCTGACCATGGATAATACTTTCATCATTCTTATCATTTATAAAAGCTTCAAATCCTTTCAATTTTTTTTTTCAGTTTCAGACTTAATTTTTTCTTTGTGTAAAAAAGGAGTTAAGTTCTATTTCCAGAAAGATTTATCCAAGACTTTCGAATAATTAGTGACTGTACCTTCGCCATACGCTCTAGTCACCAAAAACTCTATATCACAACAGGTTCCGACTCTCTGGGTCTGAGTAAAATTCTTGCTAAAAATGAAAAATCAACAAAACAAGAAGCATATGCGCTTCCTTGTCCTTTTATAATTTTCATAGCAATAATGTTCACATACACACAAAGTGTTAATTTCTCTCCTAAGTTTTGTCAATCGTGATCTTCCTCATACAAGTTAAAATTTCTCGAGAAGAATGAAACATCCATAATTTGCATGCTTCTTATGTGTACTTTGACGAATAAGGTTTCATTCTTAAGAACTGGCAGTACCTCTCACATCAATTTGAAAGATACTTTTTGTGAATGTTTTTGCTTATTCCTCAGGTACATTCTTGGCAAGGAGGATTATATAACAGTTCAGATGTGTAATCTCCCTTGACCAGAATATACCTATTAGGACAAACAGATACTTCTAAGCAAAGTGATTTCACGGGTAAAACAACATAATTAAACCTTTTAAAAGAAAATTTCAGCCTTTGCGTTTGAAAAAAAGTATTCAAATCAATTCATAAAAAAGCTGCAGAATGTCGAATACATTGCAATTTTGGAGATAAACAGCTGTAACATAAAGCAACATAGCATAACACCTGAAAACCTTTAATGAGATTCAAAACATGAAAATCGGATGATATACAGTAAGTTTATTACAAGTATATTTTATTTGTTTAATATTTGATATTGTATGTTTAGCAATTGTAGAATGGTTTTGTGTCCACATAAAAAACAATGGTTATATTTATATATTTAGTATATTTACGTATACACAAAAGAAAGGTTACGGAAAAAATAATAATAATAAAATACAGTTTAGAGAAAACAAAAATAAAACCTTACCATGTTAATATCTACTATCTTCATTTTTTTAAATCCCAATCCGTTTTACATACTCTCATTGAAAATATCTGCATTCATACATATATAATATCGACACATCTATGTAATTGTCAACATTATTATTTGTCAACATTTATTTTAAAAAGGAAGAATTCTTATCAACATTGTCAAATGCTATTTCAACAAATGTCTCAATGATTAGCAAATTTCAAAAAAGACTAAAGTAATTCAGATAGAATTTTTATAAGACATGTATATGGCAAATTCAATGTCTCAAAACATTCGTCATTTTTCAATCGTTTCTACGGCTTCTTATGTCTGTTATTGATTTGGAAATAGTGTCAATTTGTTTTCTCTTTCCAAAAATAATTCTGCATCTAAAATAGAAATCTTGATTGAGCAACGAAAATCAAAGTTCCACATATTAGTTTGAAGTAAGATTATTTAATACCTGGAATTTAAGGAATGTATGAGTTTTGATAATGAATAAGTAACAATCTATAAACTTTAAATCCATCCCTTTAAAACCAAGTTTAGCATTTGCTATACTTACAGGCGTCCCTCTAAATTGATAACAACAGATGACTCAGATTTTCTTTTGTAACAATTTTCGATTTTTTCGTTTATTTCATCACTGTAGTCGTTCCATCGTCCAAAAGAATCTTTCCACTGCCACCTACGTTCCATTGCCTGTTTACAAGAACTTTTTTTATTAACCTCATGATGATCCATATTTCAACTGTCCGTCCATTTCATAACTCTGGGAACTGCATTCTGTTTCCTTGTGAGATTGTGAATGGTTAACTCCATCGCTTGGTGAATAGGACATCAGTTCATTGCGTCTTGCCTCCTTTTTATTATCTTTTAAGCAGTAATAATTACCTGTTAATTTATTGAGTCTCTCTTTTATAGGGTGAAGAAATAGGGTGTCGTACTTTTTCATACACTTTTTCAAAGAACACGTAACTCTCCTTACTAAGCCCTTAGGAAAACTTTAACAGAGACATACTTCTTTAATTCTATTTATTTTAAAAAATTGTATCTGAAACGAAATCTGCATGTTTGTTATTTACCTTGAATGATCCCATCGTCGTTGGAAATGTAATGATTGATACGATGGCTCGAATGGATCACTGAATAATGGTTAGCATAAATAACGAAAACGTATTAAATTTGATCATTTGTCATGTAAGTAAGAAGTGCTTAAAATTCATATTTTATCCAAAAGATCAGTAAGAAATATCTCACCACAGTTTCACATCAAACTTGTTTTTGTACCCATATCTGTAGTTGCAACGGTTGCCGTTTGGCCATTTAACCTAAGAAATCGCGATGCATTTTTCAAATTCGTAATTTTAAAATTCTTTTTAGGGCCCCAGGATATGTATATAGCATAAAAATGAAGTCAATGACACATAATGAATCTGAAGGAAATTAAAGATAATTCTGCATTTATAGAAGAAAAACGAAATAAATTCATTCAATTTTTCAATGTAAGAAGTTAAGTATAAAATTTACGGTACATACATAAACTACAGTCTCTTGTTTGACTCTATATACCGTTCCAATATGTCCGTCTCCGCCATCTTGAACTCCCCAATTCCAGTCAGGACCTTTAATTATCGAGAACTAACGTCATCTTATTTCTTTACATATCTCAGTTTTCATATAAATATTTTCAAAGAAAGATGTGACAAAAAGGAGTAGTTAAGTACATGTAAGAAAAGGCCATCAAGATAAGAAAGTCAAGTTTCTAAATGGTAATTTCTTTTTAGAATAAAAGACAAAAAAGGGAATGGTCAAAAAATAATAATCAAGTTAAGAAGTCAATCAAAACATAGAGCATATATATGAAACATGTTGTCAACGTCAAAAGGCAACACGATCCAACATTTGCAACCTTACTATAAAAAATACAATATGCCACATATTCTAAATCCCCTTCCCCACATACGCAAAAAAAAAAAATTACTTGTGACATTAATGATACCTCTGGAAACTAAACATCCAACGGCAATCAATTCATTTTCTAGAATCCTTGGTTCTTCACAGGAAGCGATATCATACTTTTCTAGCACACCATCGAATCCATATTGGTAGCTCAATCGAACCCCATTATCCCATTCCACGATAACCCAACCA